TCTTAATGCCAAACTGTTACATCTTCATTTTCTTATCTGCCTACAAGGTGTTCTCTCTTGATTTTTGAGTCTATGCAAGTGACACCAAAAGCAGAATTGACTTGTGGTCTTTAACCACAGAGCAACACACTGTGCAAACACAAGTTTATTTCAATCAAATTACATCCTATTAACAAGATGATACCTACCAGGCCCTACCAGTCAAAGACCTTTCTACAAGAAACAAAAAGCATGCAGAAGGAAGCAGATACTTATTTTAGACATGATCAACAGACGACAAAATCTGTTTTCAAAACAACCCGACTACCAAAAATCAGAACAATAACACATATGGACTGTTGGCATAATATATTTGCATGTTTGGACTATAGAGAAGTCTGTCTGATGAGAAAAGGGACTGGTTTAGCACTGACATCATTGTCTAGTGCCCAAGCTCCAAAAACTGTGGACTATCAATAGAATCACAGAATCATTTGGGTTGGAAAGGACGTCTAAGATTGAGTTCAATCGTTAACTCTGCACTTCCATGTTCACCACTAAAATGTCCTTAAGCCCCACATCTACACATCTTTTACATACCTTCAGGGATAGTGACTCTACTACTTCCCTAGGCAGTCTGTTTCAATGTTTGAAAACCTTCGGTGAAAAACTTTTTCCTAATATCCAATCTAAGCCTCCTCTGGCACAACTCAGGGCCATTTTCTCTCATTCTGTTGCTTGCTACATGGGAGAAGAGACTGACACTCACCTTGTTACAACTTTCTTCCAGGCAGGCATAGAGATATGAGATAAGGTCTCCCCTAAGCCTCCTTTTCTCCAGGCTAAACAACCCCAAAAACCTCCACAGTAAACAATAAAATATAAATAATGAGGGAGAAAAGCAGAGAAACTACTTGAACACAAGATGATGATTCATAGATACAGAGAAAAGAGCGATTCTGCAGAAGCCAAACAGGTATCCTTGCAACCAAAACTCACTCTTCTCTTATGGCTGCAAGCTACAGTGTCAGATGCCATAACAGAACAGACATCTCTGGGACAGTCTGACCAAAGCTCCACAGCTGCTGGAAGACTTGTTGCAACACAGCAGCAGCTGAAAATGCTCCATATTTATCTAGTGGCCAGAAGGAATGAGAAAGAACAAGCCAAGAGAAAGAGTCTATATGGGATAGAAACCAGCCATTCTTCGCCTTGTCCTCTTGCTACTGGACCCTCTTAGTGATACCATTAGGATTCAGCAAATTCCCTGTTGTGGTCTACAAATGGTATTCCCCAATTTACTACTCTGGCTAAAACCATGTGCCGCTTCCCCTCCCCCCTCGCACTGAAGGCATAAAAGGCAGAGATCACGGGTTGAGATAAGAACTATTTACTGGAAACATCAATGAGATCAGAAAATGAACAGTAACAGCAAAAACATTAATAACAAAAGGAGTAAGAAAAAGAAACAATTTATGCAGGTTATAAGGACAACTTTAGTTTGGTTTTACTTCACAGAGATGGCATTTTATTTTTCTGTTTCTCAAGACTTTGGATCATCTATACTATACTGTACTACACTATACTACAGTTTCTTTGAGAGTTGAGATAGGAAGGGGTGCTCAAGCTAGCTGTGCCAGAATTTATTAGCAGAAAAATACAACTTGACCAAATTGCAGATAAAAAACTTTAGAAAAGAACAGAGTGTGACAGTGAACGTCTGGGAGTATGAGTCAAAAGCCATCACTTCTTTTTTGGAAAAGGCTAGACATATCAGCCTAAAACTAGACCAAATTTGGGATCTGTAGACAAAGGTTTTCCTCATGTTGTACTTCTAAAAATTGTTTTTAAAGTACAGAAGACTTGGAGGAAACAGTTAGGAAACACTGTTCAAATTATAATATGGTAGAAAAAAAATGGCATCATCCTAGCAACCTAATTTCTCAAAATATAGGAGGTATCACTTCAATGAGTTACTCCCACATTCAAGGAAACCTATTTTAAAATTTCCTTCCACCCCGATATCAGACTTTCTCTTCCTGCAGATAGCTGTAGATCCCTGCCTCCAAATCTGATGGCAGAATACACTCACTAAGGCTAAACCTGCAGAGCTAAACATAAGCAAAAGAAACCTGAAACCTTTGCAACTTACTGCATTAATTTAGAGGGAGGTTTGACAAATATAAATTGACTCGTCTGATTTTTTTTTTTTGTCTATTGATCCAGATCAGTGACTGTCCATAGCACAAGGAAAAGATTGCAGGCAAAGAAACCAATTTTATTCTCACCAATGAATATCCACTGGTCTGTATGCTACTCATGCAATACATAAAATAGTACTAGAATGAGGTCAGAGTCCTCAAACACCATGAAAATGAAATTCATTTGGGAGAACAAAAGTAAAAAAAAAAAATCACCAAAACTACTTATTTTTGTCATTTTTATTTAATTTACTTGCATAATTTAGGTCAAAGAAAGTTCAAAGAAATGAAATGCCTATCATCAACAAAGAGTATGTCAGCCTTGTAGAGCTAGAAGAAACTACAAGTGTAAAGTGGCTGTACTACAAATCTCATTCTGCAATGTGCTATGTTGAAGCTTTAATGCAAGTTAAGACAATTTGATGCCACTCAAAAGGCATTCAATAACTTTGTGACATTCTTAAGATGTCACATCATAGAACTGATTCTCTGAAAGGTTCAGCAATTACAAGGTTCACACATAGCTGACCTCCTTTTTCCCCAGTCAGCAAACACAGGATGGATTGTAAAGGCCATTTCACCCACTAAGCATAATTTCACACTATAAAGGGACCAAAAAGAAAAATACAAGCAAAGAGTTCACATTTTTGTTTGTGTGAAGAAGTTTTAACAAGCTAAGAAAGAACTAAAAGGGTCTGCAGAGCTTAGTTGAAACCCTATGAGTATTACCTCAGTCAAATTATAACAGTGCAGATTATGGGGTATGTGTGTCTGTGTATATAGGTGAGAATAATATCCAAATAAAATAAGATCTCACTCTCTCAGAAAAGGCAACATGTGCTCATATAAATAATTGTTAAGGTCAAATGACTGAACCTGGATGAAAGATTTAAAATCTTATAAAAAGCTACTCAGGAGAGGCTGAATAATCCAATGAATGGCTAGATAGCTTTTATAATAGAAGTGCTACACTGTGAAGATTCATTTTTTCAAATATTCCTGTACATTGTGGTTATGAAATATTTGTGAAACTTACATTTATATTTAGGTATCTTCTGGTATTAGTAACACTGCTATAACCTTCGCACATTCTAAAACCAAATTTCCATGTTGTTTAATAATGTTCTGGTAAACTAAACTGCTGTGGAAAGTAAGGAGCTGCATTTCAGCACAGTCATAGTGCTTCATCCTTTCTTAAAAACTATTCATTACAAAAGGATGATGATATTTTCTAGCAACTGTAACTGAGTATATTGATCGCATTTAGAAAGAGCATGACACCATATTGAATATACCAGGCCCAGAAGAAGCAACGTGCCTAAAATTGGCTGTGCTTTTGTGGTGCCACTATGAAAGCAGAATATGATATGCACTCTTTGTTCTACTTTGTAAGGCTAGATAGGAAAAATTGCTTGGTTGACAGATGCATGAAATGCTATAACATTTCAGCTGTATTTCTTTGTTTGTTTATTTCAAGTCACTCAGGTGTGATTCAGTTTGTCTGCCTGAAGTGCTGTTTGTCCACCTGAATGTCAGTGCAGACAGAGTGACTCCTCTAGGGTCAGGACCCATCACCAGAGGGATCCGGACCTCATGAGGAGAGGGAAGAGCAGGGACAGGCTGAACTGCCTCCCTGGTGATGGAGTAACGTACAGCTCAGGAGCAAGATTCAGATCCAGGAAGTCCTAGGAAACTTTAAAAACTTTTATTGCTTCCTTGATTTAATCAGTAAAAGTAGATATTTGGACCAAGTATAAGAGCAGAAAGATTTTTTTTTCCCCCTTAAATCTTAACCTTAAAGAAGAAAGGCAACTAAATTTAAAATAATGACTTTTGAGATCAGTTAACTAAGCACATATTGCCACTTCAAAGAAAGTTTAATAAGCTTGTCAAAAGATGACAAATTTAGAAATCAATTTGAAGCTAACATAGCACTGCTTCAAAATCCGTACCAGCCTAGACAAGAAAGCCAAACTGGGAAAAACACTTTACAAGACACTTTTCAAAGTGGGATGTTAAAGGCAGAGAAAAACAGGGTAATAGGCATGGGTGCTTTACTGTAAATCTCTGGGAGCACCAAGATCTTGAAGGTTTTGAGGAGGTGTCTGCAAACTAATTCTGAGACTGAAATTATAACAGAAAAGTACATATTCTTAGAGTGTCAAAGCTCATAATTTTCTTATACATAGTTTTCCTGAATTTCTTTAATTTTCAAGCCATTCAGGAAAAACATTAATTGGGTATATATTTTTTAAACATATCACTCAAGGTACTCTTTGGCAATGCTTTTTTTTTAAATTAAACTTCAGAAAACAGTTTCCTTGAACTTTATCATACTCAAGAAGACAGCAAGAAGTGTTCATATTTGTTACAAATGAAAGTTATTGGAAGAGTGAATTTATTAAGAAATCTAAAGACATATCACCAAGGATGTATGAACAACAAGAAAAAGCTGTTTCTTTTGGAAGAAGGGCAAATATGACATGGAGAACTCATGGGGAAGCTTTTCTGTCTGCTTCATCTCCTTTTTTAAAAAAACCCAAGCAAACAAGCATTTCTATTTGCAATACCTCTTGAAGGTTACTGCATCATCAAATGGTCTACCATCAATGGACAGGAAACTGGATATCAAGGCAGACCTACGCAAGAAAATCAAGAGTTCGTCCTCTATGGACTTCCACCTCTGAGTGAACAAAATACTAACCCAGCAGGCTGAGCAGAATGTAGACAGAACTGGAATGATTTATTTCAGAAAAAAGAAGTTTAGATTAATTATACCTAATGTACTAAACAAAAAAAAAGAAAATAGGCCATACTTACATCAGAGTTAAAGCGAAGCTGGCAGACATTACAAGAAATGACTTGTTTCTTCTTTGGGGGAATGGACACTCCAAATGTATGGTTTATGACTGCTTTTTGCACAGGATCCATCTGGAGAACAAACAATAATCAATTTACAACTTTTCAGGACAATAAACAGTACAGAAGAAAAAAACCCCACAACTTTCTGCTGGAAGATTTTTCTTTTCTTTTTTTGAGATAAACAGGAGAAACAAGATTCCAGCCCTCATAAAAATTAGATTTAACACAGGTTAGGGAATCGGTAGCACACCAGAGCTTATGAAGAAAAGGCAACTTCATTGTTGCTGCCATCCCCAGGCTACTAAATAGTTCCTTCCCCAAACCTGCACATCCTCTGTGCTGCAGGGCCCCACTACCACATCTGAATTGCAAAAAGCCTCCTGAAAGCCCTCTCCCGTCATCTGATGATCCAAGTGACACATAACAGAAACCACTTTTGCACCCTGACAAGTCACTGTCATTTATTTCTACTTGTTTTTCCTTCAACGACAAATATTAGCACTTGTTTGGTAAAATATTCTCTCCTGGAGACATTTTTGTGAGAGGAGGTCCTTGGCAGTCTCCATTAGAAATACCACTTGCTGGGAAAAGAGGCTGCAATCCCCAAACATTTCCATGCAGAACTGATGAGTGATGGAGCCCATGGGAACGTTTAGGTTCAGAAGAACATGTAGCGAGTGTCTGTACCAGGAAAGCTACCAAGCTTCAGAAAACATTTCAACACTCCGAAAAATGTGAGATAAGTGAAAACCTGAATATATTAATCCTAAATTTGACTGAACCTTTTCAGGAACTCAGAACTGATTACATCTTTGCTAAATACCTGTTGGTCACCAGTTTAGAATATCCTCAGGATCACAGAGTACTCTGCTGTTAACACTGCAGGAGCTGGGGAATAACACAGGATGTTCAGAAAACAGAGTGTGTCGAGGCCTCAATTAATCATAATTTGTCATTCTTCCTGATGTGACATGAATACAGATTAAAATTAATTTCCTGATGCAAAAATATTCAAATTTATTTTTCTAATTAAAAAAACCCAAAGTATCTGCTCTGGTCTAACGACTGATCCTGCTCTGAGCAGGAGGTTGGACCAGATGACCTCTGAGATCTCTTCCAACCCAAGTTATCCTATGAGCATCTGTGCAGATGTGGTCCTCCATCCTTATCTAAGATGAGAAATGGATCCTGGAGAGGGCAAAAAATGGCAGTTTATAACATAAGATGGATGCTCATTCACCATTTTGTTTTAAAACCAGCTCAGGAGAAAATAGTTTGATTTGCTAAAAAGTTACATTTTTTTAAAGTTTCCTTTGTAGTCACAGTGATGGGTTTTTTTTCCTTTACAGTACTATTTGAAGAAACCAAACCTGGATGTTTAATCTCAGGTGGTACACATCACATACTTGATGCTAAACTGATTTACAAAAGTAATAGACAAAAGTTAAAGCAACTGATTCATTAAAGAATTAGAACAGTAAATTAGCTGCTTCCAGACTTTCCAAACATCAGGATGAAGATTGTAATTTCTCCTTAGTACAAATTTTAAGCTTCCAGAGAAGCTTGCACTAATGAGGATTTTCTTCGCATATATGCACACACACACACAAACAAATACAAGAAAAACATATTACACTGTATCTGCCAAAGAAAACATTCTCTGAATCTATTACCTAGCATTAAACGCTTAATTTTTTTTGATGATGGCTACATAGGTTTCTTGTTGAATTCATTTTAAATCAAATGCATGACTTCGTAAATGGCATTAGTAGCAAATTTTCTGGAGAGGTGGTTTAAATTTTATCAGCTTTTGCCATTAAATAGTGTATTTCACTGCCACAGGGGTACCATATTAAGACAATTACAGAAGTAAAAGCACCTCATCTAAAATAAACTACTGCATTTTTAAATGATGCAGTGTTGCTACAATGAATGTGATAAACCTAAGAAAAACCTAAAATAAATATCCTTGTTTTATTTTTCCTCTGTTTCTAGAATATAGCGACAGTCCAAAGTTTAAAAGCTTAAAACATAAAAAAAATTCTGTTTCTGACTTGTACCATTTATTGCATTGCCCTGCGTAATATATCACAATTATACATGCAGATTAAAAGTTTTATGAGCATATAGATACGACAGTCAATAAATACATTTATTGTATTATAAATATATAGATATATACAGTATTACATTTATAATACATGTTAAAAAATTGTTGTATTATTAGGGAATAGTTGGTTGGAGTTTTCCTTAAATGGAAGATATGTTTTACTTTTCAACCTGCTGGTAACTACTTTTCAACAATTAGTAGTTACTAATCATTAGATCAGTTAATCTAGAAGAAAAGAGTAATGCTGAAAAGTACCTCAACCATTTGAAGTGTCTGAGATCGGTGAAAAGAAACAGCAAAAATACCCACTAGCGTCTGCAGTCCCGTTTAAAAAAATAAAAAGAGAAGAAGAAGCAATGATCAATGATTCCTCTGTGCATTCCAGATAACAATCCACAGTGCCAGTGCTAGGCAAGGCAGTTCAAAACCACACAATGCAGACTATGCACAAAGTCCCAGTTTCAAACAGATGTAGCAGCACAAGGACAAAATCTACACAAATAATACAGCTCGCGCTGCCTCCAGAAAGTACCACTTGGGATCCCCAGGGGAACGGTTAATGATCCTTCCCAAAACAGAGCCCTGCATGCAGTCTGGTCATGATTAGAATTCAAGAAGTGTACATTAACAATTAATAGGTTTTAAATATATCAGAAACTGGGGTGGATTACAGCATGCTGGAAAAATAAAATAGTATCTCTCTGTTAGAAGATTAACGTTGCAGAGTAAACTGATCTCAGATCATTACACAAAATTATCCTCTTCAATACAGGGAGAGAGGGAGGGAGAGAGGGAGGGAATGGAGTAGGAAAGAGGGAGGGAGTTATTTGTTGAGGTATATATTAGGAAATGACGCAGCATACTTTGCCCAGTGGGGAGCACCAGTATTTAAGAATCAGTTCTATAAAACAAAATAATAACAGAAGCCAACAGCTACCACAAATGCAAATAAAAATCTGCACTATGCTGTTTATGCTACAGGGGGGATTAACAAAGCAATTCACAGTGCTCTAGTAGCCATAACTAAGTTTAACAACCTTTAAGTCTTGATCTCCTATTTCAATTGGTTTAATAAAAAGTTAAATTTAAAAACGTCTTTCCAACAAAGTAGAAGATACTATCTTTTTGCAATGAGTCTCCTTAAAACCACCCAAATTACTGAAGTGAGAAAAGACTGAGAGAATTCAGACAGGTTTCAGCAGTAGTCTGCTACTACTTCTTCTCTAGCCTGGAGGACTGACGGGTGAGAGGGGATCTTATCAATGCACACAAATATCTCAAGTGTGGTGCCCAGGCCAAGAGGCAACGGACACAAATGGAAATACAGGACATTTCATCTGAATACAACTAAAATCTTCCATACTTTTAGGGTGACAGGGCACTTGATTAAGCTGCCAGAGAGGCTGTGAAGTCTCCTTCCCTGGAGATACTCAAAACCTGCCTGGACACGATTCGGTGCAACCTGCTCTAGGTAAACCTGCTTTAGCAGGAAGGGTGGACCAGATGATCTCCAGAGGTCCCTTCCAACTACAACCAGTCTGTGATTCTGTGACTTTCGAATTTCAGAACATGCAAATGTAAGAAATACTCTACAACTACTAAAAGTTGCAACAGTAACTTTCAAAACGCATTAAAAATGTGAATGTGGCAACACAAAGGACAGAATAAGAGCAGGGCAGGCATTGTATTTTCTGCTGCTTTTTTCATATTTTTCCACCTAAAATTTTCCAGAGCTAGGTGTTTTCTGTGTATTTGGTAAATTTCAGTGACTTTTCCTTGCACAGCTACCCCCGACACTGATGTAAAACACTTTGCACTCTTAGCATGGAGTTCCAATGCCTACAGACTGCTGCACCAAGAAACAATTCCTTTTGCTTAAACATAGCTTCATGCAATTTTATAAGACCTGTACCACAGCCCAAGTTATCTTTGCCTTGCTCAGTCATTCTGTGTATGGAGTCATTCCATTCCTTTCCACATCCTTGTTGCCCACCTCTACTCTACCAAAACTTAAAAAATTCAATCAAATGCTACCAGAAGCTCTTCCTGCCCTGTTGTATGTCATGGTACCACAGATTCTTCTGGTGCCTTCTGGGAAATGAACCAGACTACAAAGAGACATGAAAGCAGGCATCAGAAGGAAAGAGGAGGGCGGAAAAAAAAAAAAGGCAAGTGCATCAGGAGACCTTGTTCTGTGAAACTGAAGTTCTGGTTATTTTAAAAAACCTCTATACCCAGCAGACAGTACAAACACCAACTTGTGAGCCTCGGAAATAAATTGCACTGAGCCTGTGAAGAGGTAAGCTCTGTCTTTTCCTAACAGCAGCATAACCTTAAATCTGAGTAAGGTTTTAAAGAGTGGCCCTACAGCACACTGTGTTGGTTTATTCTGATAAAGCAAAGTTTTAAACAGTATGTGGAACAAGTAGATAATATAATCAAATACTTTCCTCTGGAAAAAAAACAGTGGCATATATAATTTAGATGTTGCACTGGTAATTTAAGTTCTATGATTTTTTTTAACCATTGAACTCCACCTGTGTTTGAGTTTCAGTTGTTGCAAAAGCCGAGCACACTGCCACTGTGGAGAAATGACCATACACCAAAGCTTATCATCAATTGTGCCATATATACACTGCCTCCTTCCATAGCTGTACACATTATGATAATTAAAAGAGTGACAGAAGTGAATACACATACTCAACAAAACACATATTTAAAATGCCCAGCATAAAATCAGAAACATTAACACTGTGATGCAATACTTGGCATGCTTGGACAATGCAAACCAGAAAGAATCCGTTCTCTCCACGTTCATGCTGCTTTTCTCCCAACAGGGAACATATTTCTCATTTGACTAATTCTAAGCACAATTTACTGTTCAACTTAATGCTATGTATAGTAATATCATTGATCTGTTACAGGATGAGGATGGTCACCTCACGAACAGGGATAGAGA